GATGCAGATGCAGATGCAGATGCAGATGCAAAAAGCCATACCAAACGGATCCTTAGACATTATGTAAATAGTTTTAACAAAACAATGAGGAACCATGAAACATAGAATATCAATTTCTCCATTCTTTTGCTCAATGCTCAATCTAATTGAGAACCCTGCATGGATACGTACTAATGGTCTCTGGAAGGTACACAGAGCCCAAAAAAAAATAAAAATGCTCAAAGGATAGAACTTTATAGACTTGCCGAAAATGGAGATATTCGAAAATGGTGTGGCAGAAAGAAGAAAGCCAGTTCAATTTCTGCAGCTGATTCTCAGCTGCTGGAATCCTGATGATGCTGCTAAGAATCGAGGGCAATTTGTCTGCGATTGATGATCTTTCGTCGAAAGAGGGAGCTCACCTTCATCAGCTTCAAATCCTGCCACCGTCGCTGCTGCTCGGAAACTGGATCACCAATTTTCACGTTAAAGTTGCTGACGCCAAAAAATTGCTTACTGATACACAGGTAGTTAATTAAAGGGCTTACTTGATAGTTTTGTGAGCTGAACGCCGGTAAAAACATCGGAAGCATACGAGGTTCTTTAGCTTTCACAAACGGCCCATATCTATGCATTTCAGTAAACTTCACTGAGCCCGTGGAACATAGCTGCGTTTGGTGCTGGAAAACGAGACGTATAATCAACACAATAAAATCAAGAAACGACAATTTTAAGATTCTTTATCGCATAGAATTAACAAGTTATTGATGTTTATGGCTATATACCTCCGGTATCAATCCTTGACATCGCCATTCAGCTTCAAATTGCATTGATGAAGAATGTTGGTCTCTAGTATGATGGATGTCATCCCCAAATTCTCGACCGATTGACTTTGAGGCTGAATTTCCCAAACTCAAGTCGAGATTGTGGTCAAATGCATTACTAGAAGAATCTGTCCTACACGAAAATTTCCCATCTCCAGAATCAATTCAATAAAAAATTGACAAAATAACGTTCACACGCAACTACTCGCTCTTTCATTTCACCTGCATCTCCAAGTTCTTCTTCATAAATGCTGGGATCAAAATTGGTAACAGCTTCCTTTCCATTGCACTTGATGGCAGCTTTATCATAAGCCCTAATTTGGTGCCAGAAATTCAGTAGTATCCAATACTATCAGTTGAACTGCTGAGGGTAGTAAATAAACAGAAATTAAAGCAGATAGTATCTCAAACACACAAACCTGGCAGCTTCAACTTCAGTATCAAAGAGACCCAAATAAACATACCTGTTAACTTCTTCATAAATGCTGGGATCAAAATTGGTAACAGCTTCCTTTCCATTGCACTTGATGGCAGCTTTATCATAAGCCCTAATTTGGTGCCAGAAATTCAGTAGTATCCAATACTATCAGTTGAACTGCTGAGGGTAGTAAATAAACAGAAATTAAAGCAGATAGTATCTCAAACACACAAACCTGGCAGCTTCAACTTCAGTATCAAAGAGACCCAAATAAACATACCTGTTAACAAATAAGAGCAATGGAAATTATTTATCAAAATTTAGACAAGAGAAAACCCACAAAAGGGTTTAAATTTAATCTTCCAAGAATGAAAATTTGAAAGAAAAGTGGGAATAACCCCCAAACACACACTTCATGTGATTACTTTTTGCCTAAGAGCTGCCCCAGTCTGGCTTCCCATCTACCACATCTGTGCAGAGTAACACCTCTATACTTGGAACTTCCTCTCGGAAATCCGGTACTTCGCCGACGAAGTACATGTACAAATTCTTCCTTAGTTAGATTGCTCGTCTGAAACACAACATAGAATATTATGTTTCCCCTCAGAGAGACGATATTTTTTCCTTTCTTGTGTCCAAAAAAACCTCAATTCGCAAAATGCTAAATCTATAATACAAAAACACATTGTAAAAGATCAGGTGAAACAAAGACTCTAACAGCATATTTGATAGGAAAAATATGTATTAAAAGAAGAAAAATAAGATAAAATCTTATTCATTGTACCATCAGTCCCAGATCTCTCTTGGAATAAACTACCTGTTTAAAGTCCTCTTCGTAATCATCCAAACTAAAGTTTATGTCTGCTTCCACTCCCCGAAACTTGATCGCTGCCCTATCGTATGCACTGCCACACATTAATTTCTAAACATTAGTCTCTTCGAATTTCACATTGAAATTTTTCTTTAACTCAATCAAGAATCTGTAAGAAACCCGAATTAATCTTACCGTGCTGCGGCATGTGCTGTATCAAATCCACCTATACAAAATTGAAAGAAGGAAAAATTCAAAATTGGCTAATCAGACTATTAAGAACATAAATTTCATTAATTCTCAGGTTCAAAAAAATAAAAAATAATCTTGTTAGAAAAATTAAACTGACCTAAATAAACTTGTTTTCCACAATCCCTGAATCAGAAAAAGATCAGAAATATCAATTCTTTTGAATAATGGGAAGATAATATAAAAAAAAATAAAAAAAAATAAAGGCTGATTTATATAAGTTTTACCATATGTGCGATTCCCACCGGCCGGTTCGCCGGTAAAAGGTGACGCCGCGGTACTGAGAGCTCCGGGACCTTGGCCCACGGCGGCTCTTCTTGAGTGGCTGCGAAACTTCCGCGGCAGATTTCCCTAAGACGCCGACGGTGGTGGCGTCGGACAGGCAGAATTTCACTCCCATCCAGTGAGACCTCGGAAAATTGGGTGCTACCCCTCCGCCGGATGTAACGGTGGTTTCCGACTCATCCACAGGAAAGAACTGCCTTGTCACCGGCGGCTCACTCCCCAACGAACATGGTCCTATATCGTCATCATCACAGTCACGTGAAACAGAAAAACCAAAGATTTTACTGCTTTTTTTCTTGTTCCCATCACCCCCACTTCTCTCCGCATCTTCTTCCTCAGAAAAACCATCCTCCATCGAGTTCCATTCAGATCCGACCCGTTCACCCTTTCCACCTTCATCCATCCTTTGATCCGGTGAATAGTTCAGATTCCACATTTCCGTTCAATGAAATTTGAATAGTTCTGATACTGTAAGAAAGTCTTCAATTTAGAGAGAGAAAAAGGAGAGTGAGAACGTAAATTCTAATCAGCACTGTCCCATCAGTAGCATAACTCTTGTAATAATGCTTGTATAGAATAGAAGAAGTATATGTTCGCTCTTCAAAGGAAAGAAAAGAACTATATAACTATAGATTCTGTAACAAAAAAAAGGAGAAAAACTGTTCCCAAATTTCAACTATTCAACTAGATCTCGTGGATCCTCCCTATCTGCCCAATACAGCATAGACGAGGCCAGTTTTTCAAGTCCTCTCTGGGGGTAGGGTAGGGTAGGGTAGGGTAGGGTAGGGTAGCGTAGGGTTGGGTAGGCCTAGGTCCTTCTTGTCTTGTTTTGGGTTATCAATGGGATTTCCATCGGTTGTAAAAAAGAAAAACTCTTTCTTCTTCAACTTTCGGACGTTAACCAAATCCAAAAGCATCCTCTCTCTCTCCTCATTTTCACCCCAGTGAGTGAGAGTCCACTAATGGAAACAGACAGCACCAACACGCGAACGATCACGTACTTATCAATAGCCTTAATTAAGCTAAGCTAATTATCGTTAATTCATTCATTCTCACGTCTTCTCACAGAGATTTAACATTGCATAATGACTTTTATTTGAGCCTCATCCCGTGAATGATGGCCATTATTGTTATAAAAAATATTTTGAATAATAATTTTTAAGAAAATATGTAATAAAAAAGCAATGTATTAAAACCCGGTCTTGGCATCGACCCGATAAAGAGAAAGGGTCGAGGGTCAAAAAAATCAATCGGAGTCAAACCGAAGGTGATAAATAAATATTTATAAACATTTAAATTTTATATTCACAACAATATGTAAATAAATTTTTACACCATCAATTCAAAATAGATATAAATATTTCAAATGTATGTTTTTAATAAAAATTTTAATAGTTTTTATTTTTTAGATCACTTAAAAACTCATTTCAGTTTTATATAATTTGTAAGATTTAAAAAATGTTTAGCAATCTATAGAAATTGAGTAATTTAATTTTGTAGTGATGCACTATGTGACTATAAATAATATTGAAAAAGTGCTCTTTATTGAAGTTTGTCAATCCCTCATTGAAAGTGTGTTTTATTAAATTTTGTTAATCTCACATTGGAAGTTTATCAATTATGGATTCAAAAAATGGTTATAAATGAGTTCCATAGGTAAAAAAGTGAGTATATGGGTTTCCATCTTTAAAGCAACCTTTGTATTATATATATTTTAAGTTGTGGAAATCAATCCAAAACCTTAATAGGTTCCCAGTTTTGGATTTAATTGATCGGTTTTTCGGTTATTTGACCTGTTATTAAATACTTGGTTAATTTAGTATAATTGGACCGGATTTGGTTCCGGTTCCCTATTTTACCGGTTGAATCGATCGATCCAATTTTACAAACATTGTAAAAAAGTTGGAAAAAGTGTTGAATTTATATATAGAATATTTTATCATATTAATATATGGTTGAAAATAAATATATTAAAAATAATATTAAAGATAATGATTGTCAAATAGGGGCTCATTTTCTAGAACAAGTTTTTTTTAAAATTTATTTTTAATTGTATATCTATTCAATAAAATAATTTTACAAGTAAATTTAAAAATTTATTTTTCTTTTAACCACACATTCTTTATAAAAATTACTTTTTGAAAAAATTATTCCAACAAATGGAGCTCAAACCGAGGTTGAATAATAGACATTAGAAAGGGCAATGTATACTTATATTGAGTTGTTCTTTTACATATTTAAAATACTTTTCGGCGTGTGATAAAACTAGTATCTCATATGTAACTTCTATTAAAATGATAATTTACTAAGAGGAATATTCAATCTTTGTTTTGAATATTGTTCTCATAATTGATTTTATTCTTAATATGTCCTAGAATATGATCGCAAACCGCTCATTTTTAGATAAATAGATCAAGTGTCTTGTTTGAACTACTCGACCTTCCATCATAAATACCAACCTTGTTACAAAAAGTAGCATACAATTCTTAAATATTGATTAATGTTTTCATAATGTATTTAACAGATTTTAATAAAAGTTAATAAAATTTGTGGTTGAAAAATTATTGAGCACATAAAATATGTAACTAAAATTAATTATTAACTTTAATTTTAATAAAAATTTAGATTAAAATCTTTACCAAACAGGATTAACATTTTTCTATTTTTAATAGTGTTCAATGTGTCAAATTGAATTATACTAAGATCTCGTTTGGGAGGGATTTTGATAATTGATTTTTTGATCGTTAGAAGAAAAATGGGGTCCACCTATGAGAGAAGAAGTCAAAAATTACGGCTGGAATAGTGAAACAACGGTTAAAAAATCAATTTTTTGAAGGTAAAAAATCCTTCCAAACAGGCTCTAAGCCCTCGTCTGGAGCCAAATTTTGGGCAAAAAAATGATTTTTTTTTTTCCGTTGACAGCCGTCGTTTTTGACCACCACTCTCCCATGCGAGTCCAACTTATAGAAAAGGTTGAAAATTTATTTATTATTATTATTTTTCTTTTGGGTTTAGAAGATGCTGCATCCCTAAATCCACTACAAAAATGAAAAGCAGAAACATTTGTTATTATGGGTTGTTCTTTTTATTATCTTCATTGAACTTCGACCATTTGATCACTAATTTTCTATCATTTCCGAGTCTATTCTCGAAGTTGAGAGGAAAGCGACAAAGGGGGAGAGAAGAGGGTAATTTGGGAAATGAAGAGGTGGAATGATTGAGAGTTGAGGCATAGGAAGTATATACTTTGGGGTCAGAAAAGGAAAATGGAATAATGGTAATAAAAGGAATATCTTTCCACAAAAGTCCAATCCAAAAGTACGGGGAAAAAGGTTACCCATTTCCTTCCTTTCTTCTTTAGTTTCTTACAACTCTACCTCGTATTTATCAATCTTTTTCCAGTGCCCACTCTCACTTTTCTCGCGCGTCTGACTTACAGATTATTTGTTGTCCTGTCTTCAGAAAAATTTCATTAGAGATGTTACCCAACTTACAGATGTATTTTAAATCGGTCCTCTAACTTCAATTTATATCATCTTGATTGCTTAATTTATGTATATTTTTCAGTTTGGTCAATTTTAACTGCGAGCAAAACAAATTGACAATCTTACGTGGCTGAGAGAATGGGTGACTGGCCGG